TGTTTCTCTTAGGGACTTTGCACTTGCCATTCCTCTTCTGGAACTCCGCCCAGCTCATTGCTTAGTGAGCTCCTCATTCTCTAGTTGTCAGTCAAATGTCCCCTCCTTAAAGAACCTTCTCTGACCACCCTCTCTGAAGTAGCACCCCCCTCACTCTTTACCCTGTCACCTGCTTATTGCCTCCATAGAGCTCATGACCATTTGTAATTACTTGTTCATTATCTGCCAGCCCCACAAGACCCAGGACACTGTCTGTCTTGATCCAGCACCTAGAACAATAGCAGGAACACAGGAGATGCTCAGTAGCTATTAGCTGAGTAAATGGGTGAATGAATAAAGGATGACCTAGTTGTGGATTACCAGTGGGGGCTTTGTTCTCTCCTCTACCACCTGCATGGAGACCATTTCATTATTCACTAGCTCATTTGCCAAAGAAATGTTTCCAGGAAAATGAAATATATAGAGAAGAACCAGTTAGAGTCGGGGGAAATTAGTGGGAAAGGAGGTTGGAACACAGATCAAAAATAAGCTCTGAAACGCTCTGTGGGTTCATTTCCCATGCTGCCAGCCTCCCAGGAGCCTGCATGAGACGGATCGAACTGTAAGGCTCATCTAGGGGGCTACACCAGACCATCTCGGGATTGCATTAAAAAAGGAGGGGGAGGCTTTTCCAACTGCAAGGCAGTAATTGTGACCGTGGTCATAATATATTGCTGATTAGCCTCTGGGAAGCCAGTGGGCTTTTGAAAAGATTTCAGGGTAAGTGATGATATATGCTCTTTCTATTAGCATAGGGCAGGCTGCACAAAAACGATGATCCCCACTCCAAAGCTAGCCACATGAGACATTTGCAGACCTTAAGCACAAGAGTAAGTAAATCATTGTTAGAATCTTAGACTTACAGAGAGGAGCCCCTGGGTGGTGCAAACAGTTAAGTGTTTGACTCCTAGCCGAAAGGTTGGCAGTTCGAACCCACCAAGAGGCACCTCGGAAGACAGGCCTGGTGATATGCTTCCAGAAGGTCACAGCCACGAAAACCCTATGCACACGTGGGGTCGCCACGTGGTGGAATCCACTCCACGGCAACTAACAACAGACTCACAGAGGCCTTCTGGTTCGAACTTCCCTTCTTACAGACGGGAAGGCTTAGGGAGCGGAGAGAGCAGGTAACTTTCTCAGGGTCACACAGCCACTCAGTAACAAAATCAGTCAAGGACCCATGTAATAAAATCAACCAAGATTCCATGTAACAAAATCAACCTAGGTCCCTAGGCCTCCAACTCCTAATAGAGTCCTTTCATAGCCCCAACACCTTAGTTAAGTGCAGCCATGGGCAATGGGAATACTTTCCCATCAGGGTAGCAAAGCACCAGCTCTCACTTTGCCTCAGAAGAGGGAGTCGGAAATGAAACAAACCACCCCAAACCAACAGATCCTTGGGGGTTTAAATATATGGCTTCTCATTGCACCGTCACCGTGGTGCCACTCAGCCCCGAGACAAACTGCCCCCCAACACTCAGCAGTGTCCCCGCCTCAGAGATTGCCCCCCAAAACCTAGGGGCTGGAGGACTCGGAGGAGCGCCAAGGCCCTCGCTGTCTTCCAGACGCTCGAGAGGGTGGGATCGTCTCCCCAAACCAGGGTTCAGCCAGGCCTGAGCAGAGACTGCCGGAGGGGGAGGCAAAGGGTGGCGGACGGAGAATCGGGAGGAAGACACGGAGGAAAGGGAGGAGCAAAGCGGGGGCGAAAGCCTTTGGGTCCATTTCTCAGTTTCTAAGGAAGGAAAACCGCTCTTCACCCCGCTCACCGGACCCGCCCTTGACCCGGGAATGAGGCACCGCAGCCATGCCGGGCGGCCTGTCCCCCTCCGTCCCAGCCGGGGGCCCGGGTACGGGCGGGGTGGGGGGCCAGCAGCACCCCTAATGCCTCCACCGAGCGCACCCTAGCAGCGCCCCCACCGCCCCCACCGCGCGCACCCC